AACATCTCCTCCCAGCCCCCCCGCCCCGATGGCTAGCAGAGAACGGGGGTGTGTGAAGACCCCATACCTCCCTCCTATTATTTCTAAACCTAAGAGAACAAGTAACAGCATGAGAACATGAGTGCTGTAGATGGACGGGTGAAATTTCGGACTTTTCCACCAAAAAATGTAAAGAGATACAAAATTCAAAATTCATTACATGTGACAAAGACTGAGTAGTAGTAGTCTCAACCACTTTACTGTCTGAGGTGACTTAAGTGGAAGTTTAATTAAGCCTTTTAACATCTGACTGTTCTCAGAGTTTGCCTGTCAAAGCCAAATATGAATAAAATTTATCTTCCTGACATTTCTACTCTCAACCCGCCGACTCACGACCCTGTGAAAACAGTGTCGGGCTAAAGGTAAAGCTGTGATGTGATAAGAATAGAACAGCAGCACCATCACCATGGTGATCCTGCTGTGGACAGATGATGCAAGCACCAGTTCCCATGACATCCATCCCCACAGGGAGGAAGGCCCTTTAAAACAGATGTGCTGTCTCCCTACAAGTGTGGGAAATCCACCTGTGTGGGTATTTTAAAATAAGAAAACATTTAACAAAAGACTAGTTTAAAAAAAAAAGACAGCTACCTTTTTTATTCCTTCTAATGATTCTAAAATAACTCCTCTCTTCTCTTCCAGATTAACGGCGTGGATATTCAGAACAGGGAGGAAGCCGTTGCCATTTTGACCCGAGAGGACAGCATCAACTTCTCCCTGCTGCTGGCCAGGCCCGACATAGAGGTAGCAACACCATTCAACCAGCCTCCTAAAAAACGTGCACATACTTCTACTGATGAATACTAGTCCTCTTTAACACTGATGAAGGTCCCTTTAACTGTGTTTAAAAACACTAAAGGGCACTAAATTGTCCCCAGAGGATGAATCCTACAAACTTTGATTCATCATCTATCCAGTCCCTCCTCGGTCTGTCCTGGTGTTGTGTCCATAATGCATCCTAGTCAGACTCTTCAACCACCTGAATTTGCTCAATAGTTAATAAAATAATCCTAATTCAACCAGTGTGTAAATAAATAAATAACAGTGCTTTCCTTTCTTTTCGGGAACAGAACAGGAGCTCTGTAACTTCAGGTTGAACAGTGTCGCTCCTGTTTCATCACTCAGCTCGCCTGCAGCCCAGTTTACTAACCTACTTTCTGTCACTTGTGCTGCTGTGGGTGGCCGACATGAGAGGAAACCTTCATAAAAATCATATTCTAGTTCACAGCATGCTTACAGTCCTGGTTTCCTCCAACAGGAACGATATGTGTTTGCTGCTTCTATCCACCAGTCTGTGAGCAATGCAGATGGAAACCCAACAGCTGGGTTGACAGTAAATTGATCTTTTTGTTCAAATATTAAGTCTGAAGCTCTGGTGACCTTTCCTGTCTTGCTACAATCATGATGAAATACACCATATAATGTTTCAGGGTCACATGAATTAGGCAAAACCTTTAGTTTCCTTTTGATCATCACTGAGCTGTGAATGTATCAGCCATTGGGACACACACACACACACACACACACACACACACACACACACACACACACACACACACACACACACACACACTGCCATGATAAATGTCTCTGGGATGACAGCAGGTCCCACAGTGTGTCCATATCTGCTGACAGAGGAAGAACGGCAGCCCACCATATTCACACATGTCAGCTCAAACACACCTGCACATACATACTTATGGATGATGTTCACAGAGTGTGTGTGTACTCACATCAACCAGACGAGTGAGCCGTCAGTCAGTTACCAACACACACATTTATGACATCTGCATGTCTTCGTTTATGTTTTGCATATATCATGCATGCAGCAGTTCATTCCACCATCATGTAACTCGTGTGTAAAATCATGTAAAAAGCATACGTAACAATAAAAACATTAGAATCCACAAACATCCTGTTTCGCACTTCCTACTGTGGAATAAACATCAACACGCTGTCAGCACAAACGATCACATGTCCAACAAACCTAAAAGCTCAAAGTGTTGGAAGTTCAGAGTGAGGTTTAAGAAAGCCACTGATAACAGCCGACTCCAGTTTATATGACAAAGAAAAGAGACGAAACACAAGATTCATCTTTCTGGAAAATTCTAAGCAATACTTTCTTTTATTGAATGGACAAACTATGGCTGCTTTAGTTCTGACACCCATCTGTCTAATCAGAATAAAACATCTGGATGCTGCCGTCTGCACTACAGTTACTGACCATCACATTCCTGAAGATGAGGAGCTATTTACCTCTTGCCTCTGTCACACGCCGCAGGCATCAGTGCAAATATGAAAGCTTTTTATAAGGACTGTATAAAACAAAGAATAGTAGATGAACACACCTCTTAAAATGAATAAAAATAAATCAATAAATCAATAAAAAGATAAAAATAAATGATAAAAACAAAGAAAATCCCTATAAAAACTCGTAAAATGCCACAGGAGGGGAAAAAAGTGGGTTTCAGAGCTGAAAAGGGAAGAAATGGATCAACAGAGGAAAATGAAGGTGAAATATTCCTTCTGTCAAGATGCTCACAAAAAGTCCAAGTTCTTGTAAATAAAGGCTCATAGTGGATTAGACCCTCTTCAGTCCAATCACATAAAATACATTTTTAGACTTTAGGAGCTCTGAAATATCTCTCATTATAAATATTTACCATCTTCAGGTGGCCTTCCTAACCAGCTGTCTTCTGTACTTTTCAGCAGAGACTATTTTCCACCATGTTTTTATCCATATGTGGGTTTTGAGTAAGTCGCTGGGCCACAACACATTTCAGTGTTCATTTAATAGTTTTTAGCTAACAATGAGAATTTATGTAGACAGTGAGAAAACAACCAAGCCT